CAGAAAAAGAACTAATGTTTATGTCTTTAACTGAATTAGATTAGTGTAAAATTAAGTAGCACATATATTCTTGTACTAGTTGCGATTGTGATATTAGAGAAGAAATTATCATTTTTCTATAAATAAAAATATATATATTAAATAATACGCAATAATAATTATAATAGATAAAAAAAATAATCTTCAAACAAATATATACATATGCAAATAATACATAAAATAACAACTATAATACCACATAAAACAATTTCTAAACATAATAAAAATACAATATAATTTTTTTGACTATTAAAATTAAGCAGTAATTTTTTGAAAAAAAAATAAAAAATAAAGAAAAGATTGAACAATTTCTTCATTCAAGAGGGAAGCTGTCTGAGTGTAAATTAATTCAGAAACAAAAAATCCAGCTTCCTATGATTTTTAACTTGGTTTGAAGTTTAGTATTTTGATGGATGTTATTATGATTACATAAGAAATAAGGTTGTATTCCCATTCCCACAGTTACTTCTCCAACAATACTCTCAAAAACTTCTGTTGACCAAAATCTGTAGAATACCCGAAATACCCTTCCTGCTTCTTTGGTCACACGCATGCACCGTCTTCCTCTGCTCCAACCCAACACTATCCAATTTCCGGGTTGCCGATACCGCTCTCTCCTTCCCTACTCGCAGCTAAAGTTTCAATCTCTTCTCTTTTCTATTTCGTTCTCTCTTCCAAATTCGACGGCTTTTTTAGGTTTTGCGTTTTGCACCAATTAGGGCTTCTCTCTCTCTCTCTGTCGATTTTCCCTTTTTTTTAATAGCTTGGGATCTTCGGGTGCGGTATTATTTGTGTAAGAATCTCCCATTAGCAATGGTTCAATTTGTTTGACTTTTTTTTTAAATTGCTTTTACTTATCATTTCAAAGCCAGGTGATAAAATTCTCTCTTCCTGCGAGATTGGTAACTGTTCTGTGTTTGATTATTTAAGAAAACTACATAATTGGATTGATTAGGGTAGCTGTTTGACTGAAGAAAAAGACAAACTTGTACTTATTCTGCAATTATGTCGTTGCAATGGCTTCAGTATGGAGAAATTTCTCTGATTCTCTTATTTGTTGCTCCGTTTCCATTGGCTTCTTTAGCAGCTAAAAATAAGACATATAGTCTTTATTTGTCTCCAATATGGTATTGCAAAACATCAATGCTTGTTAGGCTCAGTTAAGAAATTTTGATTGTTAAAACCATAAACTAAGAAATTTATTTTATGGCTTCCTGTACCAGATGGAATTTAGGAATGGACTTTGGAATATATGTCTGCCATTTGTTCTTGAGTTATTTGCAATCCATATATATCCTAGCAATTCTCTTTGACCCTGGCAGGACATGGCCGGGAAAAAAATTATAGCAATTTGTATGTCTGGCGGTGAATTTGAGACCGAAAAGGATGGCTCATTATTGTACAAAGGTGGTGATGCACATGCTATAGACATTGATGACCAAATAAAGTTCAACGACTTCAAGATGGAAGTAGCGGAAATGTTTAACTATAGCAACGATACAATGTCTATGAAATACTTCCTTCCGGGCAACAAGAAGACTCTTATTACTATCTCAAGTGACAAGGACTTAAAGCGGATGATAAAGTTTCATGGAAATTGTGACACTGCTGACATCTATATCATAATGGAAGAAACTGTTGCTCTTGATGTCTCAAACATGCCTGCTAGTAGGTAGTCTTCTTGATTTCTGACTGTATCATTTTTGCAAACACATTTGTTTGTCTAACCTTAGAAACTCTAAGTTTTGCAGATCAAGCAGAACGACTCTTTCAGAGGCTATGCCTCAAATATCGAGACCTCTGAGCAATGAAGATGATGTTATGGATGACTCTACTCAACCTGAAATCTCACTTATTGTCCCTCTCGATGTTGTAGAGGAGACCAACCATATTGTTGCAGACGTCGATGATGCACACCTCAACATACCAGCTGAAATTTCACCTATGCTTCCTTTGGCCAGTTCCAATGATGAGAAGCATGCAAAAGGTGCCCAGCAGTGGCAGAATACGATTACGGGTGTGGGCCAAAGATTTAGCAGTGTTCATGAATTCCGGGAATCATTACGTAAATATGCCATTGCACATCAATTTGCTTTTAGGTATAAGAAGAATGATAGTCATCGTGTGACTGTTAAATGCAAAGCAGAAGGTTGCCCATGGAGAATTCATGCCTCGAGACTGTCGACTACCCAACTAATATGTATCAAGAAAATGAATCCAACACATACATGCGAAGGTGCTGTTGTGACCACAGGGCATCAGGCAACAAGGAGCTGGGTGGCTAGTATCATTAAGGAGAAGTTGAAAGTGTTCCCAAATTACAAGCCCAAGGATATTGTCAATGACATCAAACAGGAATATGGAATTCAATTAAACTACTTCCAAGCGTGGCGTGGGAAAGAGATTGCAAAAGAGCAGCTTCAGGGATCATTCAAGGATGCATATAACCAGTTACCTCTTTTCTGTGAGAAGATAATGGAATTGAATCCAGGTAGTCTTGCTACTTTCACAACCAAGGAAGACTCGAGTTTCCATCGTCTTTTTGTTGCATTCCATGCTTCATTGTATGGTTTCCTGCAAGGTTGCCGGCCTCTCCTTTTCCTTGATAGTATAGCCTTAAAGTCAAAATATCAAGGGCTCGTTGTTGGCTGCAACAGCTGCTGATGGGGATGATGGAGTATTTCCCTGTTGCCTTTGCTATAGTAGACACAGACACTGATGATAATTGGGCATTGGTTTTTACTGCAGCTTAAATCTGCACTATCAACATCATGCCCCCTAACATTTGTGGCTGATAGACAAAAGGGTTTAAGGGAGTCAATTGCTGAAATATTTAAAGGCTCATTTCATGCCTATTGCTTGCGGTACTTGACTGAGGAACTTATTAGAGACTTAAAGGGGCAGTTCTCTCATGAGGTGAAGCGACTGATGGTTGAGGATTTGTATGGTGCTGCTTATGCCCCTAGCTCTGAAGGCTTCCAGAGGTGTGTTGAAAGCATCAAGAGTATTTCACTGGAAGCCTACAATTGGATCATGCAAAACAGTCAGCCCGAGCATTGGGCTAATGCAGTTTTCCCAGGTGGACGATACAATCATATGACCTCAAACTTTGGGGAGCTGTTCTACAGTTGGGTGTCTGATGCGCACGAACTACCAATAACACAGATGGTTGATGTGATAAGGGCGAGAATTATGGAGTTAATTTTTTCACGCCGGGCAGATTCTGATCAGTGGGCAAGGAGGTTGACGCCATCCATGGAGGAAAAGCTGGAAAAAGAGAATTTGAAAGTTCGTTCTCTCCAAGTGCTGGTGCCAGCTGGTAATATATTTGAGGTACGTGGTGACTCCATTGAAGTGGTTGACATGGATCGCTGGGAATGCAGTTGCAAAGGGTGGCAGGTTTCTGGTTTGCCTTGCTGTCATGCTATTGCTGTCATTGGTTGCATTGGCCGAAGTGCATATGACTTCTGTTCTAGATACTTTACGATAGAAAGCTACAGATTAACATATTCAGAGTCAATACATCCTATTCCATGTCTAGAAAGAGATCTCCTGAATGAATCTTCTCAGGCTGCAGTGACAGTGACCCCTCCTCCCGCTCGTCGTCCACCTGGGAGACCTACTACAAAGAGAATCGGATCTCAAGAGGTAATGAAGCGTCAACTCCAGTGCAGTAAATGCAAGGGACTCGGGCACAATAAATCCACTTGCAAAGAGTTGTTGTAGATTATTAGATGGTGTAAGTATTATGTTTTATTCTCTATTTTGCATTTGATGCGTGTAAATATGCATTTCATACTACTGTAACATATCATACCTTGGCTCAGCACACGCTCATCCTGTGTATGGGATGTGAAGTGGTCTGGTGTGAGAATGACTAGTAGAAGGTGCGAGTTAGCTTGTTATTTCATGGCACAGTAATCACTGCAAAGCTTTTTCTTTAGCAGCAGATGATATAGTTTGTGGGGAGTGGCAGTGTAAGTTTTCAGATTCGAACCAACAATTTTTGTGGATGACATTTTTGGTTTGGTTATTTTTTCAGCATAAGAGTTACTGGTGGGCAGCCGAGTATGGAATGCGTGGAGAGAGGATTGACATGGTGGGTACACGTAAGAAGTGTTAGTAAGGGCATGTTAAAAGATATAAATAGTTGTAGGAGTAAACAAGTGGATGGGTGGTTGTGATGTATGTAATGGTAGTTTTGGTGTTTCAGTTTTAGTTATTTTCCGCAAGATGTATTTCTTACTTTCAGATACCTGGCAAGTTGGGATGATAATAATGTGGTTGTTCGGGGAGGGAAAAGCTTTTGTAGAGAAATAGGTTCAGTGGCTGATGGATGAATGATAGAGGGTTTTTCAGGTTTTACTTGCACTCTGTTTTCTGCTCTCTGCTCTCTGCTCTCTGCTCTCTGCTCTAAAATAACCCTTCTTCTCTCTTTGCTTAACTACTTTTTAAGTTGGTAAACTTTAATTCTACAGAATGCTAATAATATGTCATCACCCAAACTACCTGTGAGTACATATTCATCTCGAGAACCAGGAGCATTTTGATAATTAGGTTAATGCACCAATGCTGCAATGACTTAATTTAAATACAGGATTTGTTTTGCAGCTTTTTTTTCTTAGTGGGGAGGAGAGAGATGAAGAAGAAGAAGAAGAAGAAGAAGAGGGAAGATTTTAGAGAAGAAGAATTCTTTAATCTAATTTAAATATTTTAAAAAATAATTAACAGAAAAAGCAAATTAGAGATTAAATTGAAAAAAATAATAATAATATATTTAAGTCTTTATTTGAATTAAATAATTATCTTTTGAAAAAATATTTTCTTTTTTTAAAATAGTTTGGTGTAGAATAAGTTTTTTATTCATCAACTATAATAATAATAATAATAATAATAATATTCATTTAATGTGTTATTAATAATAAAAGATTATACCTGGGCTTTCATCCTGCGGCCCATCTTAAATACAAAAGGCCTCATTTCCCTCTGTATCACTTTCTTTAACCGGCAAATTCCTCCCAAAACCCTAAAAACACAGGGAGCAATGAATCCAGTATCTGCAGACATGGCGGCAGGGTGCGGAAACTGCGGCTCCAATAACCGGTGGCTCCTCCATAACGTTCGGCTCCGGGACATGTACCGGCGTCTCTGCACGTCATGCGTGCTGCGGCTGCACCCCTCCTCCTTCTGCCCTTCCTGCTTCACCTTCTACGACTCTGGCCCTCCTCACCCATCCAAGCGTCTCTCCTGCTCCAAGTGCTCCTCCTTTACCCACTCTCACTGCGCACCCTCCTCCCCCACTCCTTATCTTTGTCCTCCTTGCAAAGATTCCAAATTCTCTTTCTTCGATGTCAATGCCCCCAACAACAACAACAGCAACAACCCCAATTGTCCCGTTCGGTTTATCGATAAGAAGCTCGCCGACGCACTGCTCTGCGCCGCCAAAATCGCCTCGGCGTCCATGGGAAAGGGCGTAATCATAGCTCGCGCTGAAGCAGAGCGCCGTGTGAGGGAAGCGGCGGTGGCGAGGAAACGAGCTAAGGAGGCTCTGGAGAAGATGTCTTTAATATACTCTAAAGAGGGGTGGACGAAGCTTTCTGGGTCAGTCCATTCGGAGGAGGCGGTGGTGAAGAAAGATAACGGGATGATGAAACACAAGTGTGAGAATTCGTGCGGTTCTGAGTATCAGAATGGAGATGCAGCACAAGGGTTGCAGGTTGCTCTTGGAATTAAGCAAGAAGATGTGAATTCTAAATGATTGAATTGTTTTGATTCGCGGACAGCTAGTCCTCTGGCTCTGGGACAAGCTGGTGGGGCGGTATGGAGAAACATATCTCCTGGCATTGTATTCCAATGTTCATGCTTTGGATAGTGCCATCTTGTTCTCTGCATAGGTGTTCATAGATATAGGAATTCTCTTCTTGGCTGAACAATAAGAAATGTATTTGAAGTGATTTGAGTTTTAGGAATTCTGACATAGGTATTTTATTTTGATATTTTCAGGAATTCTGGGAAATGTCATTTGATTTTATGTGTTGAAATATTTAAGTGCATCAAATTTATAGGAAATAAAAATGTTATCAAAGTTGGTGGTTTGTAGTCATTTTTTCCACAGGAGTTTGCGGTTTGGAGTCAGAATTTGCTCTCGTGAATCACTATTCCTTCCTCCCTAGGAGTTTCTAGGTTCAAATTGTGCTGTAGTTTCTATCGTGTTAATAGTTAATATATATATATATATATATATATATATATTGTTGAATTATCAAGTATGAGTTTTTACTGGGAAAAAAAAAAAAGAAAAAATTCTTATGGGTATTATTAAGGATGTTCATCAGTTGAGAATTATATTATAACGTGTTGAAAACTGATTAAGGATGAGGAGAGCAGTTCTTTTCTTTTTAAAGTTAAAATTTTATTAAAATAAAAGCAAAAGCAAAACTTGTTTTTTATTTTCATATTTTTAATCTAAATGTGTCTTTTACTCTTTCAATCAAACAAATAAGTCTTACCATTTCTGACGAGAGAAGTTCATCAGTTGGATACTGCTTCCCAAGAACTGGATCAAGATCAACACGGATAGGGCCTTACCGTGAGAACTGTAACTGCCCATGGGGGGAAACTCAAGAATATTGGTGTTTGCACCATCCTCCAAGCAGAACTGTCGGGGAGTTCTTGATGGACTGAGCTAACCTAGAATCTGAAAGATTGAATTCTTAAAATACAACATGTCTATCAGAAAAGAAATCGATGTACAGATTATTCGGCAAATCAGGATTTTAACCGGTATTTCTAAACCACATTCTTTACAGCACCTTCTTATAGAAATTTTGAACTATTATTAAAGATGATTTCGTCGGAGCCTCCTGACTTTTTTAAAATGTGTAATATCTAAACGTGTTATTTCAAATAAATAAAATGTACAAACCATTTAATGCTTTAATCAATTTTTATTTATTTATTCTTAATTATAAAAATTCTCAAAAAGTAAGAAAATTCTAAAATTATTTGGTGAAATCTTTTGGGCATTATGAGAGAAGAAAAAACAAACTTCACCACTTTAGGATGCTAAAGTTATGCGTATAATTGGATTCAATATGTTATATAATCTTCTTTTTTTTTTTAGGCATTACAACTCATATTTTCTTTAAACACAAATAAATAAATTACTATCCAAATAATACCTCATATAATATACCACGTAACAAATTATTTATTAAAAATATTTGTTTTACTTAAAAAAAAAAAAAAAACAGAAAGAATTCGACTAAATAGTGCCATTGACATTATTAATTGTTAATAAATAAGATTGTTTTTTTTAAACTGAAAACACAAACTATTATATTATGACAAAATATATATATATATACACTTAACCAATTTTATCAATTATAGGAGAATCAACCATAACAAAAAGACTGCAGAATCAAGTTTAATTATATATATATATATATGTATGTAAAATTGGGTATCATGAATATATGAATTACTTATATTCATGAAGAGATTTAACAATTACTTAAAAAGAAGAAAACGAAAATAGGGTTAATGGATGGAGGAGGTTTTGGCTTGGATCAAAAACTGATCAAAGCAGTGAGTTGTGCATGGTAGACAAATTGGACCTTCCACCTTTGGTTCCAGAATATCAATGTCGGGAGGCAACAGTCGCCGAAAAGCACCGAGAGAGACGTAGTCTATCGGAATTTCATATCTTCTGCATTCTTCTCCCACGTACACCGCCACATGACCCTTTCGACTCACCACCCTCTTCTTCTTCTTCTTCTCCTTCTCCTTCTCCTTCTCCTTCTTCTCATCATCTAATGCACTGCAACTCCTACAAATTATCTTCTCAACCCAGTTACCCCCCATCTTCATGCACAGTACCAGACTACTCTTCCCTAACTAGTTCTAGATACATACATACATGCAGTATAAACAATCTAATATACTACGCGCACACACATATATACACACACGCACACACTTAAATTTACTGTACTACATCCTAGAAAAGAAAACCCTAATTATTTTACCTTATTCAAGTCCATGATATGCTTTCCCTAATCAATGAATTAATAAAATTAATTCTTATATTTATGTGTCACAATTTCTCCACTATATATGTAAAAAAAAAATCTCGATATAAAATTATTAAAGGAAGACGCGATCAATTTTACCCCGCCAATCATGTATTTATCCCATAAAAGGAGGACTCTAATTATTCTAATCTTCTAAATCGAAATCCCGCTTTTAATTAATTACCTCCTCGTACGACATACTCTTTTTTACCCGACCTAATTACAAACTAACCTACCGTCAAAATATTTAAACGAGCCACGTATTTGGGCCTCGAAACATAAAATATGTTACCTTGGAGGCCCACGCCCATCATCCATGCACGTGGCAGCTACCCATTAGAGCAGGTGACAAAATTTTGGATTTCCCGCGCTCAAGTCAAACCGGGAATCCACGTACACAGCTTCGGATTTTGTCCCATCAGAAGCCCCAGGTTCGGATTCCCCAAACCTTTAAATCCGAACCTAACCCCCTCTTCTCTTTTTTTTATTTGTTTTAAAAAAATTATCTCATCTGTATCTGTCTCTGCGTCGACATGTCGCTTAAAAACAGCAGCAAGCTCTCGCTATGGTAAAAACCGACAAAATCATCCAGTATTAGTCCAAACCCTAATTTCTCGCCCCCTGTAAAATCTTTGTTCTCGTTCTCATTTCAAGGCGTCTGATCATTGCATCCCCCACAATCTTCGCCCTATGATCGTAGGACTTCGTCGCACAAGCTCGAAAAAAACTGAATAGAGAGAATCAAGGGAAATTTTGGCTCCTGCTTCCAATAATTCAAAGCCGCGCCAGTGAGTTAGTAATCTAACCTCTATGCTGTTGTTTGAGCTTTAGATTGAAGAGTAAAAACGTCTGTTTCTAAGTTCATTTCCATCTCAAATCTCCTCCTCTCAGTTTATGTATATCGGAAGAGACGGGAGTGGTCATATGGATTCTTTGCGTTAATTCATAGAAAACCAATTATATATTTTTATTTGGTTTTCACTTCCCCGATAAATTTGTCAATTTCCCGAGAAAATTGAACTGGTTGGTTTGGTCTTCACATGAAATGAGCTTCAAGTTTGAATTTTGAGTCTCTCTCTCTCTCTCTCTCTCTCTCTCTCTCTCTCTCTCTCTCTCTCTCTCTCTCTCTCTCTCTCTCTCTCTCTCTCTCTCTCTCTCTCTCTCTCTCTCTCTCTCTCTCTCTCTCTCTCTCTCTTCTCTTCCTGTCTCTGTCTTTGTCTCTCTTTCTTGTAGAAGCCCTTTCATATTTATTTATTTATTAGCTGACCCGACCTTTACGTGTCTCTATCTGTTCATAATAGAGTGAGTTGTGGATGAGAGAAGATGCATCTCATACCATAAATAACGGATTTAATTTCTTGGACCAGATTTTCCTGAGGAAATGCTACTAAATGGCAGTCGACTGGTTTTTAAATAATTCATTTAAGATTGACTTCAAAATTTCTACTTTCTACTTAAAAATCTCTACACCTTTTACGGCCCTGGTAAAATACAGCTTTATACGGTATTTTTCTTATTTTCCTTCACATTAAATGCACCAGCTACCATTTCACATGCAATCTACAAAACAACCTTCTCCTTCAAGAAGCGTAGACCGGGGATTTTCAATTCTTAAGATTCGATTCGGTGCATGCATTCGCTGTTAGATCCTTCATCGCAATTCCCTCTGGCCATTGGATCAAGGCTCTCTGTTCACTGATGTCAGTCTCTGATAAATCAACGGTGTTATCATCATTCTCGTCGGTTCCTGGCGGAGAGACTGATCCACTGCTGAAGGATTTGAATGAGAAAAAGCAGAGTTTCAGGCGAAACGTTGTGTCTTTGGCGGCGGAGTTGAAGGAGGTGAGAAGCCGCCTGGCGTCTAAGGAGCAGTCCTTTGCCAAAGAAACCCTTACGAGACAGGCAAGCAACTGGATACTTCGGTTGTTTTTTTGTGGGTTTCCGAATAAAGTTTTTCACTTTTTATTCAACCATCTGATTTCTCTATTTGGGATTTTTTTTTTGGTGGGTTTCTTCCATGGATTTAAATGGTAGGTCTTACTGGGTTCTTTGTTTTGTATGCAGGAGGCGGAGACAAGGGCCAAAAACATGGAGGAGGAGATTTCTGTATTGCAGAATATATTAAATGAGAGGAACGGACAGCTTCAAACTTCAGCATCTACTGCCGAGAAGGTCCCGTTCATATCCGATCAGCTTCTGGTTTTGTTTCTAATTACATATTTACTTTGTGATTGTTGTCTGATTTTACCTTTTTTTCAAAAAAAATCTCAAGTAAAAAGGAGTTCATCATTCAAAAATAAGGGAGTATTGTGTCGTGCCCGCTAATTTGATACTACAGATGCAGCACTTTTAGCAACTTGATATTTTAACGTTATCATGCGACCAACACGTTAGTCCTCATCTTTTAGGGTGCCTTTTGGCTTTTCCTCTGTCTTTGTTTCTTGGTGGAACCCAGGCGGATTTCGGGATTATATTAATATTTCTATTTGTTTGTAGCTCCGGAGATTCAAAATATTTGTCTTTATACGTAAGATTAAGTAGAGGAAATGAGAAGATCAACTAGATCCACAATTGGAACATATTGTTGTCATATTTTTGAAGTTCTAAAACTTCTCTAGATATCCGGCAATTACTTTTCTCTGTCTCTGGTACCTTGATGTAGATTGGTGACTGTTTATCTAAACTAGATAAACGTCGTAATACACTCATCATGGGTGCATTTATATAGGGAGCCCAAGTAACAAACTGAATACTAATTCCAAATGAAAACTTTAATGGAATCATGCCAAGTATTGGCTACATTTAAATGTGATTTAGCCTTTGTTGTCATGTTCTTCATTACATAACTGCACTGGACAAATTTTAGACTGCTGCTTTTATACTCTAAATAAGAAATTCTTTTCCTCTTTTTTGGATTCGAAGAAATAACAGGCAGAATGGTGGGTTCAATGGGAATCTACTTTCTTCCTCCTTCCCGTATATTTGGTGAATAGTTTAATGATAAGGTGTCTACTAGGTATAAATTGCCTCACTTTAATCTTCAATTTCCATGTATTCCTACAGTTTGGAAAACATTCATAATTGCATTGTTATATTTCACATTCCAAGGGGTGTACAGATATGATGCTAAAAGTTTCATTTGATGCCTGGCTTGCAATTTTGGTAAAGGAGAAAAAAAAAGCATGTTTCCACACATTTCAAATCTACAACCCCTTGCAATTTTGGACTCATGTTGGTAAATATTATAATATGAGCTTGCCTTCTAGCTTTTATGAGTGGGTTCCAGTTAGTAATGGCACTGCTACAGATCAGTTACTTGGATAATGGTAGCATTCAATAATAAGCTAGTGAATTGAGCCTAGAAATATTTCTCTAAGTGGTCAGTGGGTTGTGCTTCATTAGGCATCACTTGGAATGGGAAAATAAATGATGCTGTATTAATATTGACCCAAAAACAGACTTTGCATCTAGCAAGCTTTCTTTTGCTTTTTAAATGGCATAAAGTTTGTCAATTTAAAACTTGTTGCTTTCTTGTACTTTGAATTAATTTGGAAAAAAATTTAAAAACTTTATTTGGATGATCATGTGGATGGTTATATTACCTTCAAACAACCTTCATTTAAAATTTTCTTTATTGTTTATGCTTAACTTACTCTTTCAAATCGCTAGATCATGACTATTTATGGCACAACATCAATGAAACTGATTGTAGTTTTTAATGTAATACAGTACCTCAAGGAGTTGGACAGTCTTAGAGCACAGCTTGCAGTGACTCAAGCAACTGCAGATGCAAGTGCTGCATCTGCACAATCGGTGCAACTTCAGTGTTTAGCACTGGTAAAGGAATTAAACGAGAAGAATAGCTCACTAAAAGAGCATGAGGATCGTGTAACTAGGCTAGGGGAGCAATTAGACAATTTACAGAAGGATCTGCAAGCGCGGGAATCATCCCAGAAGCAACTGAAAGATGAAGTTTTGAGAATTGAACATGATATAATGCAAGCAGTTGCAAAGGCTGGAGTAAAAAAAGATTGTGAGCTAAGGAAGTTGTTGGATGAAGTTTCTCCAAAGAATTTTGAGAGAATGAGTAAAATTCTTAGTGCCAAGGATGAAGAAATATCAAAACTGAAAGATGAAATTAAGATTATGTCAGCTCATTGGAAACTGAAAACAAAGGAGTTGGAATCTCAGGTACAAAATCTTAGAAGCCACCTTCACATATCTCTTGTTTTTAACAATATAAGTTATGCTTGCAGCATTTTCTCTTCTTCTGATGTATGGTTCTCTTTGATTTTTGTGGAAGTACAGCTTGAAAAACAGCGGCGGACTGATCAGGAACTAAAAAAGAGGGTGTTGAAGTTGGAATTTTGTCTCCAGGAAGCTCGTTCTCAGACAAGAAAGCTGCAACGGGTAAAATTGCTTTCTCCTATAACCCCTTTTCCCCATCTGGAATTGCATTGTGCTCACTTTATAAGGCCAACTAAGGTAGCCCTCAGATGACACGGACTTATGGTCACAAGATTCAGTCTTGTTTTCTGCTTTTCTTTCAATCATATTATGGCAGAGTTTATAAGAGTTAGGAGATTTTGAGTTGAATTGCATGATATTTATGGGCTTACTTTCTTGGGTAAGGACAGATGGGAGAAAGAAGGGACAAAGCACTAAAGGAGCTAAGAGATCAGTTTGCAGCAAAACAACAGGGTGAAGCTGCAGGTGCTGAGAAACAGAATTTCTGGGAAAGCCCAGGTTTCAAGATTGTGGTTTCCATGTCAATGTTGATCTTGGTGGTGTTTTCAAAGCGGTGAATCCATTCTGTTCTATTACATACTAGTAATATTGTGTATAAACAGTAGCAGAAGTTTAGGGAAGGTAGAGGAAATTTCCTTGTTTGTAGAAGACAGGCAATATAGCAACAGTAGTTTTGAGAGAATGTTAAATGTGCCATAATTTTATTCAAAACACATCAACTTGTCGACATAAACTATTAAAAACAGCAGGCTAAAATTATTATCCTTAATCTGCGGTGGATCATAATTTCGCTAATCGCAATCAAATTGACTCTTATTCATACTGTTGTCGGGTTGTCCTGGACTTTCAAGTCCAACTTTTTGACTAACTTGGAAATCTCAGTCGGCTCCTTGATTTTCACTCCTGATCTTAATAACATAAGCATGTATCTTATGGTGCCGTGTGTCCAACTTTGTGTTCTATTTGCAACATTTCAACAGTTACATTTATCCAACCATATTTATCTCTCTCCCCAAAAAACTTGGTCCATAACGAAGTAAAAACTAACGTAAATCTGCAATTTCTGTAAACATGGTTTCAGTCAGTGAGTTCATCCACCTACAATTTCTGTAAACATGGTTAATTTACGGAACTACATCACCTATGCCATTTCATCTTAATTCCAATACACAATTCCTATACTTCATTTAACTACGCCTACTTCTGCAACACATCTTGTAAAGGGATCCTGCTCTTATACTAGACATAGAATATATATTTCTTAATGCACATCGAGATTCCTAGTTGCTAACAAACATCCTTCCAGTTGATTGAGCAGTATTTGTCTGTCCTCAGTTTGCCCCGGAGGACTTGTTCTTTCATTCGAAGAGGGAAAGCATTTAGATTGGTCAACCACCTTTTGCTGCAGTATGGGTTCGTGACCCATCTGTTGTATGTACAGGGAGAGTCTAAATACCCATCACCGTAATAATTATTCCACTAACCAAACATGCTAAAGGAGAAGCAATAAGCACTTTCAACGGAGATGAGTCGGATGTGTTGACACTGGGAGGGGTATCGGACCCGTATATTGCTGCTGTGCCTGAAGCAGGATTGCTTGAGTTTAAAACTGTAGATGGAGTACCCGAGCTGCCAAAAGAGGATCTACTTTTAAGAGAAAAAGAAAATTATTACTAGTATCTGGAATGAATTTCCTAAAACGTACCTCGGCAGCCCTGTCCCTGTTGATGCCGGCGGAATTGTTGTTATTGGTGTTGCAGCTGGAGTTGTGGGTGATACTGTGTTTGTTGTAGGAGATGGTGATGAAGAAAACGATGAATAGATGCAAGAACCAGTACCTGTTAGTTAAGATCACATCAGAATTTTTGAGAGAAGCTATTGAATTATAAATCATAAACGTATCAAAGAAGAAAACGGTTGCTTACTTGGGTTGGTGCTAATTACGTTGGCCGTCCCCCCAAAGTCACAGCTGGAGGCAACGGGATTCTTCTGGTAATAGCTGTTGAATGCAAAAGAAGCATGGTTCTGCACGGTATTTGGATTATAACAGCTCCCACCTTGCTGTATCTGCGAGCAGTCAGCTCCTCCAATGCCACATGCATAGTCTAGTGCTAACTGAAGGGCAGTCTCTGATGATCCAATCTTTGCCACGCACCAACTCTGTCCTGGAATTGCAGGTGCATTTGTTGTCGCAGGAACATTTCCTGTTGGGACTGGATATGTGGTTACAGGGTTGGTTATGGGCTGCGCACCTGGCACCGTCACTGGTGCGGGTGTTGTGACTGGGTTGGTGATGGGTACTAGCGGGGGGATCGTGACAGGGGTGGTGGAGGGGATGTTTGAATCAGGATTGGCTGGGGTTATGGTTACAGGATTTGTGGAGGGCACAGTGACAATTGTTGGTGTGGGATTATTAGTGGGTAGGGTGACTGGAGTTGTTGATATTGGAGTTGTGGGCGGATCGATGGCGTCGCGCAAACTTGTCTTGAATCTGCTCAGCATTTGTCTCCTAGAAGAAGGAAACATTTCTTCTTCTCTTCT